CCTCTAGCCTCCCTGTGCACCATGCTGAGAGACAGGATAAAAATCTAAAACACACCTGAAAGCAGTAGAAATCTTACTGAGTTTCCAATTGTCCCTGGTGGCACAGCTCTGTTTAGTTTTTGTTAACTGTTTCAGCTCAGATAGAGGCCTCTGCTAAACATTTTCCCAGCTACAGGGAAACGGCTTCTCCATGGCTGGGTGCTTCCAGGCAGAGGATTGGGGCAGTGGCCATCAGCTGGCACTGTGCAGCAATTTTCCACCTTTTCTCCCTTAGTGGGAGGAGGAGCAGTGAGAAAATATGGGGTAGTCATGAGCGGAAGTACGCACTGTCTGGACTACGCAGTAAAATTCTGAAAATGGGGCAGGAGGAATGTATGATGCAAGTCTCTTCTGGGTATTCAGTACAGTTGCAATAGGTGTCAGTGCACATGTTGGCAAAAGCAATTGTGGGGGTCTTTCCCATCTGATGGGCAACACTGGTGTTGTGGAAGAATTTTCTGTGAAAGGCCCTCATGATGAACCAATTTTATTTTCATCGTTTGTATACCGCTCCACATCTAGGAAGATAGTGGAATGGTGAACAATAAAAAGGTAAAATGGGGAAAAGGATTAAGAACAGTGAATTTAAAACATTAAAACTGTGGCCAGTCAGCAAGAAAGGCTTCTTGGAACAAGGATGCCTTCAGCAGGCACTGAAAACAACCTGGGATCAGAGTCTTTCTCTGATCTCCAGAGGCAGGGTGTTCCTGAGACGTGGAACTGAAGACCCTACTCCTGGTATACTCCAGTGTCCTCAGCAGTGGATAGGTTTATAAGGGAGAAAACTCTGTCTCAAAAACCAAAATCAATCCCACAAAATCAGGCAGATGACTGCATTAGATACCTCAACTGGAGTGGTGCTGACAGTGTCAAGTTCACTGCAGTTGCAAGTGCTTTTATTCCTAAAATGCATGCAAAAAGTTCATGGCAGTCTTTGAGGGACCCAGAACCCATTTGCTGAGGAGAGCTCCGGTACTCCTCCACCCACTTGACAGCTCTGCTGGTACTCGAGGATACAGTGGAAGCAGCAAGATAACGCATGTTTGCTGCCCACAGTGCTGCACAATAGGGTCATTTTTTTGCTTTAAGTATTAGTATTTGCATGCTAGCCGGTGTCCAGCCTGTTGCATCAAAAGCAGCTCCCCAGTATACAAAAAAGCATGTCAGGTTCTATGGTGCCAGGTAGGGCCCTGGGTGAAATTGCCTAAGTGACCGTCTGCATCTCACCATTCCACAGCACAGCTCGGGCCCAGTTAGAGCATCAGCTTTATCCACTGAAACATCCCCAGGAGCTTTCAGAAAATCATTGGATTCTTTCAGTCTCCTGAATTCAGGCTCCTGAATGAGCTGCCCGCCGATGATCAATCCCAGCCATTTGGTTATAGTTGTCATACTGCAGCCGTCATGAAGAACCTGTTAAGGAAAGTGATACGAGGGGCTTGGTGCATTTTTAAATGATGGTCTTAATGACTCTACATATATGTACATTCCAGCAGAAGGCTGATTCAGAACTGGTTGGGGTTTTTTTGTATTTTTCTCTAATATTTGGTGGTAATGTTTTTGTGCTCTCATTGGCTTTTTCCAGGAGATCCCTCCCTAGTCATTCTTGCCCTCATTTGTTCTTTATTTGCTTAATGTTAATAGTAAAAGTGGAGTCCATAAAATGGTGATAAAGTATGTGTGTACTCTTTGGGAACAACCCAAAGTTTCTCTTGAGTTTGTTTATGATGTAGCACAAGGGATGCGCATGACTCACATGTCGTTGGGATGTTCCCAATACTCCGTGAGGAATCTTGATCATATGTGCAAGCAGTTCTCAGAAATCACTGAAGAATTCTCAGAAGGAGTTCATTCGTGCATTTCAAATCTGCCACCTCAAGTCATTTGTGCAGTGCAACCTGAAGCTTTAGTTACAATTCAGTGAACTATAAAGACAGCGAAAGTCTCACTGACCAAATGTAGTACATAAATATTCCTGGCTGTGGGCTAGTTCACTCAGAGCAGCTATACTGTATTCTTTAACTTTGTTTGTATACCATAGAAAATTAAAAGAGAATAATAAGCACTTGTCACCGGGGGTTGGTTTAATTTGGAATCCAAACATGAGAGTTTGAGCTGGGGAAAGTTTGGGACACAAGCATCCATAAGCAGCCTTTCAATCCAGATTGATAATCTGCGAAGAAGAACTTTAATCAAATAGATCGCTGGCCTGTTTGGGGACCTCAGCTGACCCTGGTTGGATAGTCTGAACTGCACAGCAGGATACGATAAAGAGTCCCTGCCCCAAAAACAGTCAGAGAGGTGGACTAAATACCAAAAGCAGTTGCAACTGTTCTTTCTGCTGTGGCACTCCAGGAGGAACCGTTGCTGGTCTGAAGCACTTTTATTAAAATAGTAGCATGTAGCATAAGAGTAGCCCTAAATGGATCGGGACCAGCATCCCGGAGGGAGCACCTTTCTCCATATATTCCTACCCTTCCACTTAGACCCTCTTCGGAAGTCCTCCTCCAAGTGTCCTCCCCTAGGGAGATCAAAGGGAAAAGAACTTGGAGGAGGGCGTTCTCCACAGTAGCGCCGAGACTCTGGAATTCACTCCCCAGAGATATATGACTGGAGCCTACTCTTCTTTCTTTTAGGCGTCAGGTGAAAACGTTTTTATTTCAATGAGTTTTTTATTGATTTATTTTATTTTATTTAATACTTTTATATCTTGTTATAGATTATTTATTTGAATTTAATTTTGGTCACTTTATTGGTTGTGCTTATTGGTGTGTGTGGATATATTTTGTGATGTTATCTAATATTTTATTGTTTTATCTATTTTATACAATTATTGTTTTATTGTATTTTATGTACATTTAATGCTGTTTTAGCATTTGTAAGCTGCCCAGAGAACCTTTGGAATAAGAAATGGAATTAAATAAACAAACAAACAAATAAATAAAGTGAAGATATGGATAACAAAAAGAGTGATGTGACAGGATGAATATTCAGTGGATTTTCAGGATATGTCCCCTCAGATGACCAGCTTGGTGGCCCTGCTCGTGTGCCAACAGATAGCCTCAGATGGACTGCAAATTGCATATTTCTAAAACTCACAAAATCTGCTTAGGAATTGTGCATCAAATTGGCCAATTTGTATAATTTGGCACCTGGAAAGCATGCAGTTCTCGTGTGATTCATACAAGTTGTGCAACAGCCACATCTCTTTGGGTGCTGATTTACACTGGCTGACCAATTTTATGCAAATCTTGCTAGAGCTGCTTGCTTTTCAGGTCCCAGTTTGCACAAAATAGGCAAAATGCTGTGATCTGTAGGCAGGATGTCCATTGAGCTAGACCTGCCGTGTCAGCACAGCCCGAGGCAGAAGGTAGAACTCTTTAAATCAAGGTGGAGCCTTTTATAACATTTATCAAAGTGAGATATGAGTTGTACACAATTAGAACTAAAGTATTTCGAGTGAATCAAATGTTTAATTGTTCAGTAAAATTTCAAGTGATTGGTATTCATAGAATGGTCATATGCAGAATACTTCTGTTTTGAAGATTTTCTTAATAAAGCAGGTATTTTTAAATTAAGAGTGGAACTTTTGGGTGACTGCCCATGCTGTTCTAAAAAAAAGGATGAAGAGGTTTGTTTGTTTGTGAATAAGGTGGACTTCTTAAGGTGGACTTCTTTATATGCATTTCTGGAACATTCTGTGCGCTATAAATAGATTGTATACTTGATAAACTACCGGTGGGGGGCTTTCTTAGTGGTTCCCCCCCCCCCATTTATGGAATAACCTCCCCAGTGCAGCCCAGCTGATGCCAAATCAGTCATCTTTTTGGTGCCAGCTCAAGGCAGCCCTCTTTTCCGAGGCTTTTAAGGACTGACATGGCCACCTAGGGGCTTGAGGAGGATTACTAGCTATTTCAGTGTCACTCTTTTTTATTGCCATATATACCAGCTTATAAGACAACACTTGAAACCAGAAATAGCGAGGCAAAAATCGGAAGGTTGTCTTACACATCAGCTGAAAATTCATCATCATATTATATTTGTTTTTAAAGGATAGGTAATAAAGATAATTGTATTTATAAGCTTGTTTTTATTGATAATAGTTATAAAAAACCTTACTGCTAGTGGGAGAGTTCATACTGCATTGGATCACACTGTGAGCCTTGTGAATGGGCACAAGCCTGCCTCTGAGTCTGGCATCCACCCCGACCTCACCTAGTGGGGGGCACACCATCCTGGTCCAGCAGCAGCAGGGAAGGGGAGCATCCAGAGTGGTCTCTGGACAGATGCATAGCTGCCCTGATGGGCCTCTTGCCCGCCTCCCCCTGCACCTGTCTGCAGCGCTGGCCATGGCTGTTCTTCCCAGCCGACTCCAACCAGCCAGTCCCCATGCAGGCTGCTTTTGGCCTCCAATGAGTGGAACCAGCAAGGGCACAGGACTGTTAGCTAGAATACAGTCACATGACATCACACGAGTCCGGAAGTTTCCAGCTACAAATATTTGCACATACCGATGTATAAGAGCCCCTAGACACTGCAAATAGTGAAACAAGATCATCTTATAAACCCAATAAAGGACAAACACCAGAAAAACAGCCCTAAATATTGACCTCGTCTTATATGCAGGTTTCCTTATATGCCAGTATATATGGTATTCTTTGTATTGTTTATTTTTTACCATCTGTTTTTAGCTGTCTTTAACTTTTTAATTTAAAAAAAATCTGGCATTTTTATTTTATCATTTGTTTTTATGGATTGTGTAAACCTCCCAGAGAGTTTGAGCATATTAACGATAATGATAAGTGATACTTTTTCTCATGTTTTTCCAGTGTTTCACCGGGGTAAAACCATTGAAAGTATAATAAAAGCAGTACAGAAAGAAAGAGTTCTGGCCATAGGCTGATGATATAACTTTCCTTGTATAAATGAATACATCTTTATAACCTCCCCCTTGTCTTTAGGGTTTTCTCATTCAGCATTTACCTTTGGTATTGAGAGCCATATCAGCCAGTCTAACATCAACGGTGCTCTGGTGCCCCCAGCTGCATTGATATCCATCATCCAGAAGGGTTTGCAGTATGTAGAGGCAGAAGTCAGTATTAATGAGGTAAGGAACTCTTTCATTGTCTACAGAAGCTTTCGTATGCTTCCCTGCGATACTCCAGACTATCAGTCGCTACCCACACCTTTCCTTCCTGACTATTCTGCTCTGTGCTAAGTAGCTTGTGTTCCCCAGACTTTGAATAAGACCAGAATATTATGAAAGTACGTATGAGGGCAATCATTTGTTGCCATGTTTGGAACAGTGCTTCATGGTAGGGTGGGGCTACTGGGAGATCAAATTCCTTAATCCCAGTGCTGCTGTGCAGAGATCCTGTGCATAGTTTTGCAGAAGAAACTCCTACAAGTCTCACACTTCCTCAAACAGCCAAGGTGGCTGCACAGTGCTGGGAATTGTAGGAATTCTTGCTTTCCAAACATACATAGGATTGTGCCAGAAAGTACTCTTAATCATCATGTGGGTAGGATTCCTTCTTTTCTGGGAAAGCCTGAAAAACAAAAGAAGGATCCTTTGGCCCCCTGCATGTCTTGAAGGTAGCCGTACAACGATTTGGATTCCCAGATCTGAGGTTGAAGACCAAGGAATCCAGTCTCCTCCTCACCTCATAGCTGGCATGAAAAGAACCCTGGCAGGAAATAGGAAGTGACGGGGCCAAGGAGAGGGGCGTATACTGCAGCCTTCTTCCCACCCGCTGCGAAGCAACTAATCTAGATGCCCATCTAGCTGAACAGCAGAGCAGGTAGTCTGGCGAGGCAGAGTGCATCCAGCGCTCCTCCTGCAGGCCCCTGAAACTAGGGGTTTATGAGCATCAAGTATGCAATTGATAGGATTGCGTGCTTAGAGATGGTTCAGTGGGAGGCATCCTAGTAGTGAAATGTGACTTGCATGTTGCCAGATGGTTAAAACCATCTGTCACAATGCATGGATACCCACAGTGTTGCTCTGTCTTTCTTTCAGAGGCCACATGCGCCAGTTTAGGGATATTCAATACCAATTTTGAGGCAATGGAACAAATCGAGCAAAGGGCAGGCTATCATATTTTAGGGCATGAGGGCTTCAGGTCACCCTCATTTTGCCCAGTCTCGTCTAAGATGTATTTATTTTGACTACATACCCTGCTTTGTCCCATGGATCAAGTGGTTTGCCATAGTAGTCTTCCTTGTCTTTTTCTATCATATGAGGAGACTTTCCTCTTTGCCTAAGCATATATAACTAATAAAACAAACAGATAATTTCCCAGTCAAATTACTTTCCCATGATCCTTGCCCTGTGACCAAGAATTTCCACTCAAGACCTTGATTTTATTAACTTGAGCATATTCTTACCAAGTAGGTTTTCATCAAGCCCCTTAGTTTCTTCACAGTGGTCTTTTCATACTTCAGTTAAGATCTAGTATCCAAGCAAAAGGTTTGATCACCTTTGATATCCTTCTGCTTTTTCTTTTGAGTTGGGGGAAAGACAGTATTCACTGCTTTCAGTGAAAAGGATTCTCTGCAAGCAGTGTAAAGCCAGAGCAAGTAGTAAGGATGAATGAAGAGGACTGCCCATCACTTAGGGGTTTTCTGGGCTTCTAAAAAACCAGAGGGCATACATAGATGGGTTTCACGAGACTACTTTGGATGTTGGCTTGAATTTTTTATATTTTCCCCTTTAGCAATTGCAAAAGCAAATGCATTATTAGCAGTAAATGTACACCTGGATAATCTTTTCAGAAATGTTTTAGTCCCATCAGACTGGGTAACATTGCTTATTAATGTTTTAAGGCCTGGGTTTCCTGGCAGCTACCTTTGGAAGGAGGGGTGATTTTTTTTTTATTAAGGGAAAGCATTGGTGAGTTACATGTGGCCTTGTGATGCCTAATCTAGCACTAGACAACTCTTTAGTGTAACAGTTTTAAGTCATCAAATTATGTAAAGCAGCCTTCCCCTAACCTTGTACCTTCCAGACACAATTGGACTGCAGCACCCAGAATTCACAGGCAATGGCCCTGCTAGATGGGAATTCTGGGAGTAGTGGTACATATGCCTCCGAAGGTCACCAGGTTGAGGAAGGCTGATTCAAAATTTCCTATGTTTGTGAGATGGGAAAAGAGGAGACTTCAACACATATAGGCACCTAAAATTGGATGCTCTACATTTATTTAAATAGTTGAGTGTCGGTAGTCAGGAACAAAATGCAACTTAAGAAAGTGCCCAAAGGAAATGTGCAGATGTAAACTATGGATGTTTAAACATAGTTCTCAACCAAAAAATATGCTGTGTAGAATGATCCATATGTTTGGAATTGGAGCGCTAATCATCAACAGCTGTGCCACTAATGACTAAAGAAAAAATAGTTCTGTTACTGTAGCACAGTGAAATAGAGTTGTTTTAATGTGAGCCGCCCCGAGGCTTGGGTGAACGGGGCGGCATAGAAGTCCCCGAAAGAAAGAAAGAAAGAAAGAAAGAAAGAAAGAAAGAAAGAAAGAAAGACAGACAGACAGACAGACAGACACTTTATTTTTAAAATGTTTCTATGATAGAGGAGCTTATACTTTTCTTGATCTGTTGTACAGAATGGCAGCATAAATAAATACTTCTTTCTCCTAAATGCAATGAATTAGCGCAAGAGAGGGTACCATCCTGTGGCCACGAGGTGCTGCCTGGGCAACTGTAGGATAAGTTGGAGCCTCAGCATCTACCTCGGAAATGTGCTGCAAGGTCAGAGCTGGGCTCCAGCCAGTCAGTGCCCTCCCTCCCCATTGTGGCCGGCATGGTCCTTCACGTGCTGCCTATGGCTGTGTCTTCAGCACCAGGCCTGGAGAGTGGTTCAGGCAGTTTGGATGGGAGGAGCAAGACTCCGAAGTTGTTCGGGGGGGCACAGAGGAATCCTGTGGTGCCTCTGCCCCTCCTCGTGAGCAGGGGCAATAGACACTGACAGCCCAATCAATGATGGCTTTTGCAGGACTGGAGAAGCATGGGCATCTTTGCTCTGCACTCCTCCTGGATGCCCATACTCTTCCACGTTCTGAAAGTGATGGGCAGCTCCCTTGAAGAATTTAAGAAGAGTGCTACTGCGTCAGACCAAGAGTCACTTAGTCCAGTATTCTGTTCACACAGTGACCAGTGAACTGCCCGCAGGATCCCACCAGCAGAAGTGAAGTGGAACAGCCCTCCTGCCATGTTCGTTGTGGGTATTCAGCCCCTGATCCGGGAGGCAATGTATAGCCATCAGGATTAGTAGCCTCATTGCCTTATACTCCGTGTTTTTTCCCCGCCCCACTTTTAAATGTGTGGCCATTACTCATAAAGGCATAAAGGTTATAGGCAAGGATTCAGAAACAAAATAATTCACTGAGCACTTCTGCTTTCTTGGTTTTTAACCTGGAACACCAGAGTAAGAGATACTTGTGCAATTTAGAGAGTACTCTTATGGCCCCTAGGTAGTATCTGAGGGGCTAGAAATATTACACACACATACCATAGACAGTGCTATGATGTAAATGGGTGGAATCGAAGCAGAAATCCTCCCCACTCCCACTGCCTCTCCCAACAGCTACAGGAAGCCCTGCATTGGTTTCCCTTCCCAAAGTTGGTGCCATGCCATTGGGAGGGAAGGGAACAAGCATGTGGCGAGAGGCAAGGGGGTGGGGTGGGGAGAGATTGGATCCATCACATCATAGGCCGGCTAGATGGGCACATACATAGGACCACTCCAGCACAAAATACAGGAAAGGAGGACCAGGAGAGGCTCTACTATTCAGAAGCTTCTGTTCTCTGAGGCTTCCATCTAGAGGGTGTCGATCCTAGGACTGCACTCTTAACAATGTGTAAAGAACTGAAATATCACAAGTAGCAGCTATTAAAACACACACCCACACACTCCAGAAAGTCAGGCTTTAAAAGCAGCTGTGCTAATAGGTAGCTGGTGATTCTTCAGGCACAATGGCTTGGGAAGGTATTTAATTGATACTTTGGAGACAAGTGGTGAACAGCATGAATACAGAAAGTCCAGGTTCATGTCCCATGTAGGGCTGGGAAAGGATCCATCTCTGAAATGTGGGGTGCCAGTGATGGTCAGTGGAAGTGATATTGAGGGACACAGAACAAAATAGTAACCAATCATCCGTCTCTGCATAACATGGCTTCATATATTGGTGGTCAAATGCAACACAAAAATGACCAGCTCAGTTAACTTGCATTCTGTTCTACGCCCACTCCTCTTCAGAATGCCAATTAGGGGTGCCTTCCTTGCCAGGGAGTCTTGGCACTGCAACTTTCACCTGTCACTAAGCATTTGTTTTTCTCTCTGTCTTTCCAAATTAGGATGGTACTTTGTTTGATGGTAGGCCAATAGAGTCCCTCTCGCTGATAGACGCCGTAATGCCAGATGTGGTACAGACAAGACAGCAGGCTTATAGAGACAAGCTTGCTCAGCAACAGGCGGCCGCTGCAGCAGCAGCAGCTCCAACAAACCAACAAGGGTCTGCAAAAAATGGCGATAACAATACTGCGAATGGAGAAGAAAATGGCGCCCACACAATAGCAAGTAAGCTAACTCGAAGAAACAACAGATAACTTATGCTCTTGCTAACAGCAATCAATAAGCAGAGTTCATGGAAATTAATTGCACATCTCACAGAAGACAGTCCACATGCATCTCCATATTTGCTTGCGATCTTGGGTGGTGGCTAGGGTAAAAGCTGCACTGAATCTGCATGTGTACGTATGTGTACACATTTGTGAAAACAGTGCTTTGGAGAGACTCAAAATGTTCTGCCTCTTGCACATGTTCAGTTCTATTTGGAATGCTATGCAGGTGTTATGCCCCCTCACTGTTGCTGCTTCAGTGTCATATTTTGATGGCTGCTTCTTTCTGAAATGATTCCAAAAAATCTGGGATGAGATAAAGGGCAGGACAGCAGGACACTGACATGTATACGATTAGATTTAGTTATATCTATAAGCACATCTACAGAGGTATAGATGGAAGGATATAAACAGGTATCCCTGAAGATACTGTTCAATGAGAAATTGAAACCTAGTTTGCAAATATTTCATAGGATGTGTCCTCTTAGAGGTTGGTTCCTCTCTCCATCTCAGCTCAGAAGTCTCTCTGCCTCATCCTTTCAGTAAGAATTGTTCTCCCCTGCAACTGCTGAAAAGAATCTGCGTGTACATGTACGTGTGTTGTCCTTGGAGAAGTATGTCCTGTGAAAGGAATCCTTTAAGCTTAAATCCCTATCCCCTGTTACTGGGATTCTGAACACTTTCCTCCTATTCAGTGCAGATTTTTGTGCACTACCATTAATTATTTTCAGGGGATTGCTTAAGATTGATACTTGTTTCTATATGCATACGAGTGGGGTACAGTAAAAGGAGTGGTGGTAACATGTGGACTAGGTCTTCTACAGTTAACCACCCATTTCTGCAATTGCAGCAGAACATTTTTCAGCCCGAGGATTCGTTTCTGTGTATCTGCAGCTACATGCATAAACAGCCTGTCACATGTTACACTTTTCATGTATCATGTTCTATACGTCATGGGATATGCAACTCATAGCCGTGCAAACTGATCCTCTGTTTTACTACTGCTTTAGAGAGCTAAAGAATTAATGGTCTTACTGTGGTCATTGACCAGTTTAGAGAAGTAGTTAATAAAGGTGGGAAACATGGTCATAATCCTCAAGTCGGGCTGGGATAAGCTTTACTGGTTCCTCTGTGATCTGCTGTTGCATTCTGCATTTACAAAACATGAATGGATACTTGGCTGTCTTAATAGCTATGGCAAAACCCGTAAGTGATCCTGAAGAATTCTGCCTTGCTAAAGATGGCCGTAGGACTGAAGCAAGGTCCATGTAGTTCCCAGCAACGAGCAGATTGTAGGCAGTCTGCTGGAAGTATCTTGACAGTCTACCTTCTACCAAGCTCTGTCCTAAAGTATTCCTCCAGCTTTCATTTGTGTTGATTATGCATTAACACTTTATGTTGCCCATGGAAATCTGTAGAAATGCACAGTCTTTTTAAAACCAGTCTCTTCATTCTGTTCCATGTATCAATTTAGAAGCCTGTTTTTGTCTGTTGACTGTGACTAGAAGAGTATGATAGCAATCCAAAACTGCCGAAGTAGTGAGAACATGATGTGCCAGCCACCCCTACTGGCTGGAAAGGCAAATTGGCTCTCTGTCTTCACAATAAGAGTATTTTTAGCTGTTGTATTCAATGCCAGTAATGCTGGAATAGCCTTTTTTTCATCCGCTCTTTTTTCGACATGTTAGTTGCTTCTGCTCATGTGCAGGAAAATCTGTCTCAAATTAGTCTGCTGGTATGCAAATGTGCTCAACGTGGATCTTCCCTAAGTGTAAAATGGACCAACATGTTAATTATCATCTGACTCCTTTCTGCTGCTGCCTTGGTTTAATCCTTCTTCACCTTTGCCATTTTAATTTCATTTCCAAACATCAGAAAGACATTGGTACTGACTAGACCTGTGGGTTTTTCTTGACAGTGTCAATTTAATATGACCTCCTTGCTAAATAAATAAGTCATATCTTGCCATGATTAGCCTTATAAATCATTCAGGTGAAGTTAGATAACTGCTAGGTACTTGTATAAGAGCGAGAGAATTTGTTCAAGTGTTTTTGGAAAAACAGTCCTAATCCATATGCTCATAGAAGTGGAAATATTATCTTGCCAGGTCTGCGGCACAGGTTCTGGAATCCTCATCTCCACGCTGGCCTAGACTAAACCATAAAAAGATCAGAATAGCAGTACTGAACCAGGCCAATAGTCCATCCTCTCCAGCCCTCTGTTCGGAGGTTGGCCACTCAGCTGTACCCAGGATCCCCCAGGCAAGATGCATGCAGGGACTCCTTCAGTAAAGGAGATAGTTTCACTCAGTAAGGGCAACAGCTACTGATAGCTCCATGAATTTGTCCAGTTTCCTTTTAAAGCCGTCCAAATTGGTGACCATCATCACTTCCCATGGCTGTGAATGCCACAGTTTGTGTATTATAGGAGAGAGAGAAAAAATCATTCCCTATCCACTTTCTCTGCACCATGCCTTAGCTTTAAACATCTCTATCATATCTTCCCTTACCTCTTTTCTAGGCTAATCAGTCCCTGTTGCTATAGCTGCTCCTCACATGGGAGTTTCTCCAGCCCCTTGGTCATTTCTTTGATCTTCTTGATCACAATTGTTCATACACCAAATGCAAGATGAAAATGCAGTACATATGTGTAATTGAAAGGATAGCTGCAGGAGGTCCAAGGCCAATTTTCATACTCAGAGGACTTCTTCCCCTAGACACATATGGACAGTGATTTTTTTTTTACAGATAAACAAAAACAAATCAGGGCTTGAAGGCTAATTTTCACCATTTCAGCTACTTTCAGCAGCTCGAGAATGTCAGGATTAGCTTCCAATTAAGTTAATTTTAGTCTATTTGACACTCCATAATCACTGTAGGCCCCCTTTTTGTCCTCAAAAAAGCTTTTGAAGGGGAACATGCTATGCGCAGGCCCAGTGTTGACCACCCTGAAAGATAACTGTTTGGGCTTTGCTATAAGCTACTCCCATTATTTCAGTATTATTTATTTTTTGTTTTCCCTTCGAAGATCTCCGGATGGCTTGTATCCTCCACCCTTGAATCCTCATAACACCTTCCATGGGAAATTGAGCTGAAAGAGAGTAACTGGCTCAAGGGTACTCAGATCCTCCTGGACATGTTTGGAATAGAACTCACATCTCTCTGATCTAAATCCAGCATTGTGTCTGCTCTCCCTTATAACATAGGGCCCTGTTTAATTGTTTACAATTCATTTGCACCTGTATCTGATGCTCAAATATAATAGAACAGATAAAAAAAGTTTCATCTAGGTAACCTGTTGTCCTCTAGATGTTTTGGATCACGACTCTAGCAGTTAGCAATTGCCTTTCCCTGCTCTAGGGAGGCCGGAAGGTGCTGGGAACAGGAAAAAGCCCAGCGGGAGAGAACACATGCAAGGAGTGAGTGCCAAGAATATGGAACCTTGCTGGAAAGGAAACCCAGCTGTTTCATCACCAATGTATTTATAGGAGGATGGGATATACCAAGCTGTAAAGATGTGACATCCCTGGATGCCCTCTGGGCTAAAGGCTGGGCACAAGGAGCAGCTGGAGCAATTTGGGTGTTAGTTTTGACCTAAAAGGCTTTACATGGTGCCAGAAGGCAATACCCAACAGCACCATTTCCTCCATGACCCTGCTAGTACACTATGGCCATCAGCCAAGGCCCTCCTCCAGGTGCCTACTTCAAGAAAAGCTTGGCAAGTGGAAATAATGGAGACGGCCTACTTAGTGGTGGTCCCTCAACTCTGGGATGATCTTCCCAATGCGACCCACCTGGTGCCAACTCTGTCATCTTTTTGGTGCCAGGTTTAATAAGACCGCCTTCTTCTTTCAGACATTTGGCACCATACAAAGAGGCTTTAATCAGGTCCTGAGTACTTCTTGCTGTTGATTTTTTTTTAAATAGTCCTTCAATGTGGACATGTCTCTCTTTGTGTTGTCTGTTTATACGTTTACTCATTTATAGTTTTAATAATGTTTTTTTAAAGGTCTGAGTCTCTGCAAATTGCCCAGAGAGCTTCAGCTATTATGTGCAATAGAAGTGCAATAATAGTGCCTCTGTCACCATTTGCTGTTCTCTATTATGCAGATAATCATACAGATATGATGGAAGTGGATGGTGATGTCGAAATCCCTCCTAACAAAGCAGTGGTGCTGCGTGGCCATGAATCGGAAGTATTCATCTGTGCCTGGAACCCTGTTAGTGATCTCCTGGCCTCAGGGTAAGTTTCCCCCAAGGTAGACCAAAATGTCTGATCTTTTACACCAGCACTCTGAGTTTCCACAAAAGATCCTAAGAAACTAATCTTTCTTTCTGTTGGAAAATGGGAACACAGGGAACAGCCACTTTAATTCACATGATACCGACAAGCTAATTTTTTGTTCAGTGGCCTAACTTAGTCAAGGCAGTTGTAAGAAGGTGCAGCTCTGGAATTCTTCCCCCCCAGAACAGGAATGATGAGTTTGTATGCTGAAGTACAAGAATAATTTGATATAATTAACAGGAACTGAAATAAATGATAATGAAGCTTTCATATTTTAGTATTGGTTGTGCTAGATCAGCATACAGAGAATAAGGAAAATGATTAAGCAGGGGCTGAACACACTTGTTTTTCCTTTGATGAGGTTTCTACTTCGTGCTAGAAGTTCAAATGGTAGCACTTCTTTGCATGATTGCTTGCATTGCTCAAGATTAATTTCTAGCCTCAAAAGAACAGGGGAAAAAAGGACCTTGTGCATTTTACAGATCTGGAGATTCAACGGCAAGAATATGGAACCTTAGTGAAAACAGTACCAGTGGATCCACACAGTTGGTCCTTCGACACTGTATACGAGAAGGGGGGCAAGATGTACCCAGCAACAAGGATGTGACGTCCCTGGATTGGAATGTAAGCAGAGACTTGAAGTGTTCAAATTGTTCAGGAAAAATGCAGCTTTTTCAGTTTCAAATACTTGATGTAGGCACTTATAGGGGAGATGCTTCTGAACATTCCCTTTAAATTGTGAGTTATGGTTGTCTCCATATTGTTACTACAGTGCCCTTGATACACATGGTGAATGTTAAAACAAGCCCTGCTGAAATGTCAGCATTTTGTATATCTGGGACACTGTCTAGCTATGAAAGCCCAGCAGGGTTTAGATTTGTTCAAGGTTCTGTCCCGCAGCCCTCTATTCTGCTCAGTAAAGAGCTTTCAAAACCCATGGCATTTCAGAAGTGGTTTGTTATACAATACAGAGTTGTAAAGTCCCAGTAGGTTCACAGAGTCTCTGAGGGTGTTTAAATTAGTTCTCTGGAATAGAGCCCTGGATGATGAAACCTAAGGCAAGAAGGTGGTTACATACAAATAAACCTAAATTTGAGGAGGATGTTAGCAACAAACACTTGTCTCAAGAAGCCACTGTTTATTTTATTTTATTTTATTTATTAAAACATTTTTATGCTGCCCCATTTGCCAAAGCCTCGGGGCGGCTTACAACACTAAGTAAAATATAATATAAATTAAAAGGTACAGTGACAACAGGGCAGGTGAAACAATGCATCATTTGGTCTTAGTTCATTTTCTTTTCTTGGCATCCTTTATGTGCGGTGCCAAAATAGTATGAGAATAGACTTCGGGAGGCATATTGGTAGCCATCAACAAGGCGACCATTACTGGTACACCCCTGCCCTTCTGGTAGGCTTCCCATGGGCAGCTGTTTGAGCATTGTGTGATCATGCTGGACCAGATGGACACCAGCTCTTCTTACGTTCTTAAAGGAAACGGGGAGCAATTGCTTCCGTTGGGGTTGAAGAACTGTAGCTCTCCACCTGGCTCTGAACTGCAGCTGCCATCATCTCTCAGTGTTCATCACACTGGCTGGAAATGATGGAAGCTGTAATCTAACAGCTTTGAGAATATAGGCTCCACTGAAGAGAGGGAAAGAAAACATGGGGGGTTTACAAGAAGATCAATCATGAACGACTGCCTTACCAAAACCAAAAAGCCCCTAGTTCCTGTGGGAAGTTGTGGGAACTTCTTTCCTTCTTAATGACAGGGCTTGTTCAGTATTTCTCAAGAATGCTTTAAGTACAACAGAGGGAGAAGAAAGGTGGCCGAATGGACACTTTCTAAGTCAATACTCTTCCAACATAAAGCCAACATATATCCACACAGTCCTCTGATATGTTGTTTGCATAATATATTTCGCTATTGTAACTGTCTCTTGTCAGAGCTCGATACACCTTTTCACTTTTTCTTTGATTGCCCAAAATAAGAACAGGCAAGGGAGTGTTGTTGTTGTTTTTTTAAAGAAATGGTTGTTGGAATATTCAACCTTTCCTGATGCTGCAGGATTAAAACTACTTACAAGCAGTTCTTGTAAAAACTGAATTGTAGATGTGGCAAAATGTTGTCGCAATGTGTTTTTAAATTCTTAAATCATTGTGTATGACCTATGTGCTATTAAACCAAATTAACTTGGCATACTCATAATTCATTTATGAGTGAGATGAGGGTTGCCACCAAATTTTGTTTGAGGTGTACTTCAAAGTGAACAAAATGTCCAGAAGTTTCAGAGGAAACAATAAATAGGTTTTGATAAGACTAGCTACATTTTTCATTTCCCAAAGACAGCATCAAAAGACTAACCACATTTCTTCAGCAAGCTTCACCTGTGTCAGGGAAATGGACACGTCTCTTCTAATGGGAAGCCCTTCTAGGTACTCCAAAGTAAGCACACATAGCATTATCGCCTTATATGCCTTAATTATATATCCAGACAGAGAAAGCACATTCTGATGATAAGGCAGAGCAGTTGAACCTCAAGCTTGAGACCCAAATCCAGCTCACCCTAGAACCTGAGCCGGCCAGTAGAAGTGCCTGTCGCAGGGCTTAGTTACTGGCCATAAGAGCTTTAAGCAAAAAGGTGCTGATTTTTTTTGGTTTCGGGACTTTCCCCTTTGACCCTGCCACCTTTTGCCTTAAGCCCCACTGGATTGTGACTCCTCCCCTTCCAGTGCTTCTCTAAAATGGAATTCAGCCCTTGAGCTGAAAGGAGCACTGTTCTTGCTCTGTTACGATCTTGGATGACTTAGTGATGATCTGTGAGATAACAGCAGCACTGCACTTTTGCCCGGCAGAGCGATGGTACCCTTCTAGCAACAGGGTCATACGATGGATTTGCAAGGATATGGACTAAAGATGGTGAGTGCACAGATTTTTGGTTCTTACCCCCACTCCCTGCACATAAGTTACAAGGACATTTCTTTTTGATCTTTTTTGGTAAAATTGTTACAACTGTTCCTTTAAATTTTAGGTAATCTCTCCAGCACGTTAGGGCAACATAAAGGTCCCATATTTGCATTAAAGTGGAACAAGAAAGGCAACTTCATTTTAAGTGCAGGCGTGGACAAGGTGAGAAGACATCTGGCTTATTTAAAATTCATTGTTGCAAGATTAAGTTACGAGACATCAACAGTCGTAGATTTGTGTTAATGACTGAAAGGCAGTAAAGCCATGAAAAAGCTGTCTGGGTTTAGAAATAACAATTGTTGGTATGACTTGATCAGGCCTTAATATAGCAAATGATTTATATGCAGTACAGACAGTGGAGGTGAAGCTCTTAATACTGGTGGAAATCACAATTCAGCCCAGTATTAGGGGGATATGATCTGATAATGAACTCATAAGAACAGGTGAGCACTTGCATCGTTATAGGAGCTTAACTAGGGCAGACAAATATATGGAGAATCACAGAGCAACTCAGGTACTATTTAGACATGATTCTCCCTGGAATTTCTCCATGCTGCCCTAAGAGCCATTTCGTGCGTTGCACAGCAGAAAACCCAGTTGGTTATGCAGTGGGCCCTAAGAGGTGATCACCTGTTCTTGCGGGGCCTGCTTATATCATCCTTGAGTTGGCCAATACATATATCACATTCACTTGCAGTGTTATGCTGTATACTTAAAACTAAGAATGCAACTTTTCCGTTTAAAAAAACTTTGGCCCAATTAAAGAAAAGGTGCCCTCAGTTGGGCAGCAGCTATTGTGAAAATATAATAACAACTTCTAATTCAAGGTGATGCAAAAGCTGTGCTGGCATATATGGGAAATATATGTGATTAATCCACTCAGAAATAACTTTGCAAAATACAAACGCTCATGGGAGTATTCCACAGAGGGCCTGCTCTTGGATCAGAGTGATCTCATTTAAAGGAATAAAGAATCTCTCTGCTTTTTCCATTTCTTTTTCTCTGAGAGAAAATGAAGAGAATGGATGGGGGAAGCAAGAGCCTGGACCTGCAGCTTGCTTCTGATGTATTCCTGGGAAGAGCGTGCACGTGTGTGTGTGTGAGAGAGAGAGAGAGAGAGAGATTGTCCAAACAGACCCAAAATACCTAGAACAGCCCAAAAAGTTCTGATTGCAGTTGCTCTGAGTCCTGAATGTTCAGGTCTTACAGATAATAAATGCAAAGCAACGGAAACCATACTGTACGTGTTGAACTTTGCATGGCTGAAAGGAGCTTTGTGTGTAATTTGGAGTGGAGAAGTGGCTGGTGAGGAATGGGGGCAAATGTTATCCTGTATGGCCGGCTAGCAGGGCACAGTCATTCATCAGCATTTGTGTGATATGTGAGACTCATGCTGAAAGGGCATTATCAGTTCCTGGGCTTAATCGAGCCACCCACTCTGAGCTTTCCAAACAGCTGGTCGGTACTTTAAGAAGCAATGGTGTGACTGCAACTGGTGTAGTGCATGATCATGGGTACAGTTCTGTACTTCCCTGGCCAACTAATTTTATAGAAATCTCAGCCATCAACCACATTAGGTGCTTGCAGACATAAATCTCGTTAAAGGTTTCATGACTTACATGCAGAACAATTTCAGAAACATGGTCAGTCATTTCAGCCTAGACCCTTCAGGCACATATTAAGAATGCAATTCTAAGCCAGCTTTGGCTTTAAAAAGAAGAGTCCCACAACTTCCCCATTCCCAGCCAGGATAGCCGACTTTCTGGTCTGGGGGTTGTAAGACTTTTCTAAAAAAATTAAGCATGCATAAGATTGTGCCATAAATGTTTATATTTGAATGTTAACTTTCATATGGAGCCTTATAAATTATGTGTACTGGAAAGAAAGGAAGGAAAGAAAAATTATCCTCGCTTCACCATTGCACACACTTGAAGCTCCTTTTGGTGGTTGAGATTGCTCTCATATGGGCTGCATGCGTTTATGAGTAACGGTAGGAAGACATGGTGGCCTGCAAATATTTGAGGGAAAATGAGCCTACTAGGAGAAAACATAATTAAGATTTAAAGGAAGAAATTGGAGTCTTAGGAACTGTGTTCTGACAATGACAGCATTTACACTGTATCTTTCTTGCATTCAATATTGAAACAGTTAACCAAACCCTACAAAACATACGCTTCTGAAAACTGCTAGTCCAGCCAGTCTTAGCAGTGCGTAAGAATTTATAAAGCAAAGTTGTTATACTTTTCCTTTTTTTTTTCTGTTTTAAATGCAGACCACAATTATTTGGGATGCACATACTGGAGAAGCCAAACAGCAGTTTCCTTTCCATTCTGGTATGTATTTCTCTTCAAAGAACAAATTGCTTTTCAGAATAGGGAAGGGATGATTAACAGTGGAGGCCAGTGTTTCACAGCTCAAGTTAATGTTGATTTTTAATTTTTTCACAGTTGTGGTGTTGCTGTTTTTTAAAACATGACTGCACAAAATATCCTTGCTAGATTTTTGGACATGGATATATTCAGTACACCATCTCTTGTGTCTTGTATTTCACTTGGCTCAGCTTTGGATAGATGCCTGGCAGAACACCACTGTTAAAGCCTGGGTCACTACCATGTTGATTCAGATCTCCTCCTCATCTGGCCCTGGTTTTTGGCCAGAAGCTGAGCCAGACTACCATTTCTCTTATTCTTGCTCAGTTAAAGGCATAGACCTAAGCAAGCTTGGACAGAAAAAGGCCTACAGCTGCCAGGATGTTTCCACCAATTATGCTGGGAAGCATTTTATCTGTTTAAACTTGCAGAAGATTGCTTACAGCAGCTATTTTAGTGGACAGCACAGCCTTGCATTGATCTTGGTCTCTAGATATCACTCAAGAAATACTAAGGTTTTTGCCCTTACATCATTCACTTTAGATATTCTCATCTTGGTTGTATCCTTCCAGTAACCCTGAGCCATAGGTTAGGGTGGGCAATCATGATTTTCCAATGCCACCCATCAAGCGCCAAGTTGAACCTGGATTTTTTAATATGCACAGTAAAGATGTCTCCACATTCTGATTGGGTGATTTGGGTAACAGCCTTTCTAGGATGGGGGCAAGGTTCCCCAAAATGTGATAAACCCCTTGGCCTACTTCAGAAATATCTGGACACCTTCATCACAGTTGAGAGCAGCGGTTAGCAGCCTCTATTGCACTAGTGGCCTTCGTGGTATTTCTTGTTTATACTGAAGTCCAATTTCTTAGCCCCCCAAGTGAGAAAGAATCTGAAGGCTTCTGGCCATTGGCAAACAGACCTAACCTTTCTAGGTATCTTTGCACCTGTCTAGAGTGAATTGTGCAATCCCAGTTTCTACCTCCTACTCTTCTCTAAGTTGGCGAGTCATTTCCTTGCTAACATTTGCACATGTGTCACAGTCCAGGGTGTGGGCAGCAGGCATCAAGACAGAGGGAGCAGAACCAGAGCTCCAGAAATGGAGGCAGGGCATAGTCCAAGCACAGGTCAGGCTCTGACATTTGGTCAGAGGCAGGGTTGTGGTCAAGAAACAGAAGTCAGAAATCGGGAGTATGTATCAGGGCAAGACAAGGACACGGGTCATGAACAAGCCAGGGGTTAAGAACCAGGAAGACAACAAGAGCGTAAAGCAGGTACCTGAGGCAGGATAACTGGATGGAATTCCGGAACAGTGAAGGTGTGGCAAGCAAGGCAGAAGGCAGCAGGGCAGGAACCGGATGCAGGAACTGAACCAAAGCTTGCAGGAACATCTGCATTGCTGAGGCAAGACAGTAAGACAAGATATAGCAAGCCAGCAGGGCACACTGCAGCATGGCAAGGCAGGGTACAGCAAGGTTCAGGTGAGATACAGGAACTGAACTACAGCTAGTGGGAAGACCTGCTTTGCTAAAGCAAGGCAGAACATGGAAAGGCAGAGTAAGAACCAGATCAAGTGAGGTATGAGAGCTGTACCATACCACAGCAAGTAGGAAAACCTGCATTGCTGAGGCAAGACAGCAAAGTAGAACACGGCAAGATGCAGGAACTGAGCCACACCACAGCTAACAGGAAGACCCGCACTGTTGAAGCAGCTAGTTGAGGGAAGAGCTTCCCCCAGCTGGCCCACATTAAGAGGCTAAAAGTTCCAGCAGGCTCTGGAACTGTTCCTGTGAGTACTGTGCCAGTGATTCTGGTCTTGGTAGCCAGATGAAGCCCATCTACTGATAGCATGATCACAGGAAGGATAAAACATTTCCTCTTACTTTCTCTTTCTCTTTCTGTCAATAGCACCAGCACTAGATGTTGACTGGCAAAGCAACAACACATTTGCCTCCTGTAGCACAGATATGTGTATTCACGTCTGTAAGTTAGGCCAAGATAAACCCATCAAAACCTTCCAGGGCCACACAGTAAGTAATCTTAATGTGTGTCTGTGTTTGTTTAAAAACAAAGCAAAGCTATGTTCCACTTATTCAGTGCCAGCTGCATGCATGGAGCAAAGTTAAGAGACATGACCCAGATATTGAACTTGCAGCTTTGAGATCCCTCTGACTGTGTAAACATGACACCATACATTAATCCTGCTCTAAAGAACTTGAAGTTTCAAGCTGCAGCTCACACAAGATTGCAGTTTCAAGAGAGCTCATGAGAGTTCTGTTCCAGTGTCCCTGGAATTGATTTCCAGTCTTCTTAGAAGTGTTGCATGCTGAGCAGGTTCTTGGAGCATGAGATGATCTTGGCTTGTTCTTAAGAGAGGTGGATGCCATGGGCACCATCCTGTTGTTTCACTGAGTGCTGTAGTTGTACAGTCATACAAAGGGTTGTTACGCAAATAAGGTGCTATGGTGATGGTATTAAGAAGAGGGAACTCTTGGCCAGTCCTAAAGTTTGCAGTGAAACACAGGTGAAGACACTTACGGACCAGTGCTAAGCACCTTTATTGCAACATAAGTCCCTCTGGATTGAATGGGTTGTACTCTTTAATAAGTGCACTAAGAATGCAGTTTGATTGATTTTAGGCCTTTACCTTGCACTGTAAGGAAATGACGGACAGGTGCAATGGAGTCTTTCCCATTCATTCTCTATGTCTGAATCGCTTGTAGTCATGCATGTTGCATCGCAATTTCAACGCTGACCCCATTCAGCTAATTTCCTGCTGTGTTATTGCTATTGGGGGAGTGCACCTTCCTTTACTTTGCTGTCTCCTGTGCAAAGGAATTAGGGATGCCAATTTCACTCTCACTCTTCCGTTTCAGAATGAAGTAAATGCAATCAAATGGGATCCCACTGGTAATCTTCTGGCATCTTGTTCTGATGACATGACTTTAAAGGTAAAAATGCATCACAACGCTGGATAATTTGCCTTTGCAAAAAATGCATTTATACTGCATTTCCTTGGCCACATTCTTAGTGGGATGTGTGCATGGATATAATTCAGATATAAAATGCCAGAGAGAAGTTTAACGTGCTGGCTGTCATTCCTGGCAAAAGTGGATTTGGTGTCCCATCAGAACTGTCTGTCTGGATCAGAACAGAAGTCGATCAGTCTGTCCAAGAATGACCCTATGGATCCACTCCCATTCCCTATTGCTCATCTCCTGCATTATACAACAGAAGATAATTGACTAGTAAATAGTGAAAGGTCTAACCTCCACAAATTTGCTCCTAAAGCCATTTTTGCGACTGGCCATCCTGACATGATTGGATTCCATTAAGAGATCCATCACTTGGTTAAGTGTTGCTTGAAAACATGAGCTTTTCTCTTCGTGCAGTCGCTTTCACCAATCAATGTGGGCACACATTTAGACAGAAAAAAAGGCCTAGAACTGACAGCATGCAGGCATGAGGTATGCTGGGAACAATAGGCTTTTTCTTTGGTCTGGACATGCATAGGATTGTACCTTTAATTGACTCGATTCGTCTCTCTGGCTGCCGATCCATGCCAGACTCCCATGCAGCTTTATTTTGTTAAGATACGCATTTTCCTACTGCTTGCCCTTATGGAGTGTGGAACAGGCCACTAGAAAATACTGGGGCACTATTGCTCTGCAAAGGGCTTGTAATCAACAGTCCGCTGTACTCCAGATGTCTCTGCCAGCTCTTTAACATGTCAGCATTGCAAGACCCACTGCCAGTTGTAATTTTTTAAAAAAATTTTCTCCAATCCCTGGTATTGCATCTCATGTCCCGAGTATGAAATGGATATCTCTTTACAACAAAACCCAAAGCTGACGCCTGTACTTTATAGAAATAAGGGAACCGTAGCATTTCCCATATGGTTTATGAGGAAACCTTTACATTAGAATAATTAAGATGTGTTGTTGTTTTCTTTTCTTTTTGGACCTCTGCTAGATCTGGAGTATGAAACAAGATAGTTGTGTCCACGATCTACAAGCGCACAACAAAGAAATTTATACTATCAAATGGAGTCCTACAGGGCCAGGAACAAACAACCCAAATGCCAGTCTTATGTTAGCAAGGTATGGTTGATGTTAGGCTCTCATACGAGGGGGAAATAGACAAGCGAGTTATTTGGGTCATTTCTTAGCTAGACCTCCAGGCAGTTCTTTCCAGCAGCCTTTCCCAACCCAGGGCCCTCCAGCTGCTGGGGACTACAGCCTCCATCATTTCCATTCAGTGTGGCTATACCAGTTGGGCTTGATGGACACTGCGGTCCAATCCATCTGGAGGGCACCTGGTTGGGGAAGGCTGTGGCATGCTGCAGGTGACATGCTGCTGATCCTGCTATGAATATGAGGTGCCTGAGAACAAAGTGTCGTGGGCGTCATCCCAGAGCAGTGCCAATACATACCCAGTTGAACAATGTCGCAGTCATAAACTGCACAGTGACAACCAACCCGAGGAAGTCCATACAGAGAGAGCCAGACCACAAGTAAAGTCCAGGTCTGGACTTAAGTGCATGAGGCCTCTAAAAGTGTAAGCCAAGCATCAGCTTCATATCCTCACCTCTTCCCTTCCTGTATACCTAGAAGGAGTATTTCAACTGACTTCTCTCTCTCTCTCTCTCTCCCCCCCCGCCCCAGTTTTTGGGTATTTATTTATTTATTTATTTATTTATTTATTTATTTATTTGATTTATATCTTGCTGTTTCTTACAAACAACTCAAAGTGGCTTACATCATTCTCCTCTTCCTGCCCTCAATCTTGACCCCAGCCCTGTGGGATAGGTTGGACTGAGGGTCTGTGCCTGGCCCCAAGTCACCCAGCTGGCTCTGTGGCCAAGCAAGGACTAGAACCCAGATTGCGCTCTTATAACCACTACAGCACACTGGCTCTCATGTATGATCCAAGAATCTGTGCTTTAAAATGAACAGTAGTCAGTTGCTGAACAAACTGAAAACAACCCTAGGGTTGTTTTGTTTATTTACTAGTTTTACTCTTGCATTTATATTCCACCTGTTTTCCTCTTGTAAGGAACCCATGTTGGCAAACAGGCTGCTTTCCCTGCATGAACTGCCCAAAGACCTTTG